TTCACACTGTCACCGGGCTATTGTCGCCTCGCAATAAATTGATTATGCTGCGCTTCGCCACTGGTCCTGATTCTGTTGTCTGGATCAAGCCTTCAAGAACAGACACATGCCTTATCCAACATCTTCGGAGAGGATCAGTTCCTAATCAACACTATGTGAGCAGAGAAACATGGTAGGTACGTAAGTATACCTAGCAGTAGTACGAAAAGTGCATGTCGCTAATAGTATGATGCATGTCACAAGAAAAATATATTTACAGTTCAGATCTGACGCTTTGTTTTGTTACAGTGGGCCTCATAGGCACTGGACTGGATTGCTTTGCTTCCTACTGCCTCAGTAAGCAAGGCAAGATGGGCATCAACGTCGGCGGGTACCGGTTCAGGTTCAACGGCTGTGCCAGGAACGGAAAAATTAGATGGAGGTGCTCCAGGGGTCCCTGGTGCAAGGCAGCCCTGCACACCTTCAGGGGAAGAATAGTCTACATTCAGAGCACGCACAACTGCGGCCCGAAACCTCCTATCAATTAAAATTTTATATGCGTTTTTTCATGTCTTCAAATATTTCTATCGTTCTTTCCTAAATTTAACTTACAAATTGTGATTGGTTAAGGGTATTAATACCGTTTGGATTGGTTTTTATTACGATTATGTATTTATAATATAAATCCTATTATGAAGAGCATCTTGGTCTCTTATTTAAATGTATGATAACGAAAAAAGTACAAAATATAATAATATTGTCATGTAGTTACAAAGGTAGATCCTGTCTGTCGAATATGACGGAATAAGTATAAGAATTATTATAAACGCAAATATTATTGTAAATATTTTATTCATAAGTTCTGTATCAATATACAAATGTAAGCTCAAAAGATGAATATTGAATTACACGAATAAATCCAATATTTTCACAAACATATTTTGAATATCTAGTTACCGTCCTAAATGTAGCACAAAAAATGAATTATTCATTACTCATTTTGTTTTAGAGTTAGTAAGATATACCTCATGCCAACAAATTGATAAGTATTGTATATTTTTAAAAATATATGTAACAAGGACGATTGAAAGTGAATGTATATTACTATGTCGACCGTAAAATGGTTAGCCAAGTACCTGTTGCCAAAAGTTTCCTTGCCACCATTTAGGTAAAGTAAATTAAGTTCAACATATATTGAAATGAGTTCACAAATAAGTTATACTCGTATAAAGAGTCTGGGTCAAAGTTCACGTATAATTAATACTATATAATTAATAATAAAAAGTCTGTCAATCCAGTTTATATAAATATACACGTACAACTTACTAATATAATTAGTAGGAAAAAAAATCCGGTGTGAAGTTATTAAATGTCCAAAATGTTTAATTTTATTTCATCTGCTTTAGCTTAAAAATAAACAACAATCATTCAGACTGACTCAGACTCGTTCAAAATTAGGATCAAATACAGGGTGTTTATCTATAAGTAATTTCGAAAATTCACTGAAATAATGATATTGAAAGTCAATATTTTAAATAAATCATTGTTTTAATGAATACTTTTATTTACCTAGTTGTAGTGAGACTTGAAAACATATTTTATATGTAGTATTGTAAATATCTACCTCTGTAATGTGTGACAGCTATATGCAAACATTAGTAATAAGTGATAATTGTACTATTATTCCGGATATAATTATTTTACCATTATTTCATAAATGTAATCAATAGATGTTCTATTGTAATTTAAAAAAAAACCTTGATGGTCTAGATATAATAATTATATATACAGTTAAACTACAGAATTAATTGAAGTTTATTGCACAGGATTTGATATTACTAAATTATTTCATATTCATGAAACTTANTAAAACTCAAAACATATTATTAGAAATTAATACATATTGTAATAAATAAAGCTACTGCCAGAGATTTACGTGGATATGTATAAAGTTTCGATTCGGCATAATTTAATTATACAGAGTGTATCTGCTAAGTTAATAAATAATGAATCCACATAATTCTGCGAGATCACTGAAATTTTAATATTTTAAATAATCTTTCCCGACTTTTTTAAATTGGTGAATTTTATTTTATTCTGGTGCATCACAATTTATGTACCTATTTATTTTTACTTAGCACATATTTAATAATGGTACTGTACTGTACAACTCCTTGCACTCTGTATACATAAATTATACTCATATGTATAAATTAAGTAGGTATCTGGTTGTGTTTTAATGTATAAATATAGGTGCAAAGATATATCAAACTGTAGTGATAGGTGACAGCCAAATTATGAGTAGAAAATAGAGTAATGAAGTTTTATGTGTAACTCGATGTTTGTAAAAAATAAAACTAGTCATATTGTTACAAAAATAGTTTTATTTGCTCTTCCCTTACAATATACATACAATAAATAACAATTAGAGGCATGCGGTTCACAATTGCTATTAATAGGTATCATACTTATGCCTTGATCACACGTACCGAGCAAACGGACGAGACAGTGAAAAAAAGGCTTATTCCACTATTCCCCGTTAACGCCAATTGGGAGCTTATAATGGGGAATAATGAACTAAAAAGATTATTAATCTCCATTACGTTAAAAAGAAAATCCTAATATAACGGGGATTAATGAACTTTTTAGTCCATTATTCCCCATTATAAGCTCCCAATTGGCATTAACGGGGAATAGTGAACAAAAAGTTCACTAATCCCCGTTGACGGGGATTGTCAAAGGGGAATAGTGGCCGAGCGCTCGAGTATGTGACTCGCTCACCCAACTGTCTCGACCGAGTAAACATTTTACAAGGCTTTAGATACAGCCATGTGTACCCATTTATTATGTAAAACTTATGCCGATGGCAGATCAAGACCAAGGCCCGGTTTCCAACAATGCTGAGCGGAGCGGAGAAATGTTTTGAACAACCAATCAGATTTAACCACAACAGAAATAATCAAACCACACATGTAATGCAATAAATGATTTGATTTGATTTAATGAAGTTGTCAGAATCAAATCTAATTGGTTATTCAAAACATTTCTTCGCTCCGCTACGGCTTGGTGGAAACCGGGCCTTAGGCTAAGTTTAGATTAGCTCGCACAGCACAGGTGACACAGTTTTCCATAATTGTATGACTAACTAAACTATGGGAAAACTATACTATGGGAATCTGCGTCAGCTATGCGAGACAAAATAAACTAACTTAGCTCTTGGTCTGCACCTCGCATTTTTATTAAACAGGTACAGCTTCGGCCAAACCAACGCGTGCAGCTCGCGTCGGCGATGGCGATCACTGCGCGTGCATAGATCGCCGCGACCAATGACAGGACGCGTTGATGCGAACTCATCGCTACAAATTCATACACGACAAGAGGCTGCACGCGTTAGTTTGGCCGAACCTTTAGCGAAAATTTATTAACAGACCCCACCTTGTCTCAGACCATGAATTTTTAATAGCATATTATTTTGACTAAAATCCTCTTTACAGTTGTCGCTATGACTTTTTACCTTTTTTATTTGATTATGCGCATCCAAAGTTAAACTTCCAGGGCAGTTGAGTATCGTAAAACATTTGTAATAAGCGTCTCCATTGGTATAAACCTTCTTCTTGTGATATCGGCGGCCTTCCAGTAGTAAAGCTTTTCCTCCTCTCCTTGTATTCACAAATTGTATATCAGATGAACGTACTTTTACTGTAACAGACAATGGTAGGTATTTATTAATAATATAATAATAGTAAATGAAATAATAATAGACATAACACAAATGCAAAATAGTTTTTATTAGTCATAGTAGCAATAGGCTAGTTGCCTAAAAAAATTTTTTTAGTCCGTAATGTTTAATATCAAAAAATATTGGACACATATATTTTTATTTGTCAATCTAACAAATAATTACATAGTTATGGTGCGTTGAAGTTGCGCACGACGTCACAACGTGCGGCATTTTTAAGCAAGCGTTGACGTCACGGGCCTCTTCTTATGAACTTTGGGGCGCTTTATCTCTTTAAATTTTCATTAGTTTGAAAAAGTGAAAAATACGTGTAGAGTATTTTTTGATAAGTTAACTGACGGACTAATTAAAACTCTTGCTTTTTGACCCAGGCAACATCCCCATTCGTAGAAAACTGTCTCCACTGGTCACTAACTGACAGGTTAATTTTCAATTGAATTTTCTTACCAGAAATAATGAAAACGCGTCATCTTTATTGCAATACCAACCTTTTCACATAGGAGAATGCGTAACCTTCAGTATCGTCGATTTTGTACTCGCTAGTGGCGCCAACTGGTGAGTCAAATAAGGACTATCCAAATTCTGAAGTAGTTGAAGGATTACAACTGCTAAAATTGATAAGATAATGTGATTTAGTTTTACTAATATTTTTTAGGCTTGAAACCGCGCGGGCGTCCGCTTAACGCAGTTTGAAACCCTAAACCCACGCAAAGGTATAATGGCTTCTATCTACTTTAATTATAACTTTCAAAATTTATTGTAAATGCATTGCCCTTTACCTATTAGTTTAGTATGTTCTAAACGAATTTTGTGATATTGGTAATTTTACCACTGTTTTCTACAAACGGGAGTGGCGCCATCTAAGCTACACATAGGTACAATTTGTCTGAGGCTTTGCAATCTGCGTCTTCATATTTCCCATCCTAATACAAGTACGTAAATAGTGATGTGATGAGTATTATGCTGATATAATAATTATACTTACAAATGGCAAAGATTATAGTAACTTACGAATTTGTCTCCAGTACTTAGAAAATGTGTGGCCTTTGTAATAGTGCTGCTAAAGCTATCGCCATCTATCGAAAAGTCACGAACTGAATTGTTAAAATATCAATCTATGTTAAACTACAAATTAATTTCTAAAAAAAAAACTAAATTCAGGTGAAAAGTAAAACAAACTTTTAATTACCCATCTTTATTCCACTAACTTAAAATGTATTTACAATAATACCTTATTTATTATGCAATAAAAAGAATAAAGGTGCTTCTTTACTTGATTTAAAAATTAGCCTAGTTTAACTTTAATAACACGAAAATCAAATAAAAGTAAGTAATAAAACTCCAGTTTATACAATATATTAATATGTTAAATGAAACTCCGACAGACTAATACATACTTTAATACACAGAATGGACGTATTCGAGAACGGTTAGGCGTTTTTTTCTCAAATTCTAATTGTAAAAAAACTGAATTAAAAATCTTATTCATCATCAACATCACAAATAATATCTTGCACCACAACTTCAGGACAATATCGGTTGGTGTTGAGAAATAGCGAAAGAAACTTAAGCCTTAAATATTTCAAGAAATAATTGAAAAGAAAAGTAGGAGCGAGCTAGGCAGAAGTCCTTTTGTATGATAACAGAAAATAATTGTTGAATAATTAAATCTTTAGACTCCTCTAAATAAGACGTTCTGTCTGAGCCGTATGTTTGCAGGACGACACACGGAAAATTGGATGAAAACGAGAACTGCGTTAGAATAAAAATTATTCCCAACAGTTAAGCTGGGTTGTACCACCTAACTTTAACGGTAACTATAACGATTTTTGACGTTTGTTAAAAGTGAAATTAGGATGGTGCATTAGTGTGCGGTCTAACAAACGTTCAACTAACATCTTATAAAGTTTATTGAAAGGCCTTTTCCTGCACCATATTATAGACAGCGCCATCTATATGAAATTAAACCAGTCTCTAACCGTTTTCGAAACGCCATAACTGTGACATAATCCGTATTAAATTATTAATCACCAATGGTTTCCTATAACCTAGTAAAGATAAAAGTAAAAGTAACAACAAATATTATATTTAAATACCGCGCAATTGAATTACGCAAAAATACAAAAACTGTATGACGAAAAGTCACATATAAACCCCTCGTGACACACGGGAGTCAAAAATCCAATTAATAATTTAGCAATTCACTGAATCACATAAGGATCAAATCAAAATAAGAAAAGTATTTCTCTAGCGCAAGTCAAGTAAAGGGACTGTACACATTACCGGGACGGGACAGCAATAGATTTTTAAGTGACGAATAATAATGTTCCAGTTTTAGCCCTACGGTTGAAATTGCAATTTTAATGGTTTTGAGACGCCACGGCATGCTTAGGTAGGAATACTGAAGCAGAAGGCCTACATTGCCAGTTCAACTGTAGCGTCAAAACTACGTAGTATGTTTGATACCTAAAAATCCCTTGCTGCGTTGTCCCGATAATGTGCGCAGTCCCTTACTACTACTACTCCGTAGATAACTTGATTTTCACCCAAATGCTGGAAGTACACTGCGGGAAATTGGCCAAGACGCATCAATGTGAACACATACTTGACAAGTTTCTTCATTGTCGGTACGTTTTCACATTGATGCGAATTACGAATCCGACTTTTGTATAGTTCAAGATGCTGTTTAAAAATCACTCAACCGCCTTGATTGATATTGACAAACATGTTCAGAGCTTTGACTCAAATAACTTCTATAAACGTAAAATCATATTTACAATTGGTCAAAATATTTAGTTCCCCAAAAATCAGCTTCGAAATCATGATTGTAGAAATTTGCCTTTTTTAATGAAGATGTAAAAAGCCGGACTATAACTAGATGGCGCTAGTGGTCAGTTTCAGGATTAAAGAATCAAACGCCCGTATTCACAAACGATGCTTGCTTAAGTGAAGCAGTAAATCGAACGCACAGCGTTGAATAGAGGTCTGATTGGTTCGTGTGTCACCCTGTGCGACCACGCGCACTGTGAGACCTCATAGTAATGTTGTGAATAGGGGCGAAATACTTGCTAAATAAAGATGCAGAATGTTCATATTGTAATTTTGGCAGTCGCGTTTTATTTGTATCTACAGCTTAAAAAATCAGCAATTCTGAAAACTGACAATCATAAACCAATGCAATAAACACAAAAATGAGATTCGAACGGTTAGTTAAATGGTCGTTTTAAGTCGGATCCTGATGCAAGCGTAAATTTTTAAAATCTTAGATTTAATATCAGTACCAAACTATTTATTGATAAAAGTCACACTAGCGCCATCTATTGAGTGTTTTTTATAAACCTGAAATATTTCTTAAGTGGTTCATTTTAAATATTTGCAATACTATATTCTAATCAAAATTTAATACTAATCCTCACACTCCACGCTGGTGATGATTTGCTCACCCGAGACCACTCCATGCGCCAACTTCAGGTGGTTGAGAATGGTTGAGATGCTTCGGTCTACGTCATCGTGTCTGACGCAGCGGTACTGACATATCTTGCACGCATACGACTCCATATCGGTGTTGTCAAACACCTTCCACACCCAGTTGTGGTCATCTGGAAAATGTAATTACGTTGGTGCACCGTTTTTTGGTAGTGGGTGCATTTGAGACTTGAGTACACAAAGACTAGCTTTAGTCCAACCAAAAAAGGTAGATAAGTAGGTACATAGTTTTAAATAAGAAGTCAAACTACATAGATATGTATGTCCAGATGGACATACTATCGAATAATTTTAGAATTGGATGAACACTATCTTAGTTTAGAAGAGGTATGGATTTAATTTTACGAAACGAAATAGCTGATAGTTCGCATAGTGCGGGAACGTGTGCATTATCTCGCATACGCTCGGCGTTCTCTTGCATACGGCAGTCAACAAGTTAGAATAGTTACACGAATGCGGGCCCTATGGCATCGTAAAAGTGAGCCGTTAAAACCTTTTGATTGGTGACATATCAATAATCTATACTTCTGTACTAATATTATAAATGTGAAACTCTGTCTGTCTCGCTTTCACGCCTAAACCATAGCATAGAGATACTTTGAGTCTCAGGAAAGGACATAGGATAGTTTTTATCCCGGTTTTTGAAACAGGGACGCGCGCGATTAAATAAATAATATTCCACGCGGGCGGAAAGCTAGTACTTATAAATCAGAAGAAAGATTCTATGCTTGAACTTTAACTACTTTCGATTCGCAATATTTACTTGTTTTATATTATAAAAACACTTACGTCCAGTCTTATTGTGTATCATCTTGAGGTGCCTGTTCATGTTGCCTGTAGCGTTGCCCCCGTGGCAAATGTTCCTGTTGCACAGTTTGCACTGCGCTAGGGTGTTGGTCAGTCGGGTGAAGTACATCCATATCCAACTGCGTCGGTTGAAACCGGTTTTCGTGGGGGTTTGCGGGGTATCGTCTGTGGATTATAAAGGATAAATAAATATCTTTCTTTGGATAATTTCAGACAGCGCCATCTAGCGAAGTAAGCAATTAATATGCTTGGGTTATGGGTGCTAGTTTAGTATATAATACTTTTTTGATTACATACATACATAGTAACACCCAGACCCGTCACAGAAATTAAAATCTATTATTTTAATTTCTGTCCGGCCGGGAATCGAACCCGGGACCTCTCGACATAGTAGTCCGTTCTGAACAGTGGTACACACACCAAACGGCCGACAAATTGATATTAAGAACCCAAAGTATAAAATATAATATGCTGTTGTAATGAGTATTATCAGGCCTGTTCATCTCCGCGAGTTTACATCGAAAACAAAACACGCACGATGGCCCACCTACAGGATACTATTCGACAAGGCCTCACATACGAGCGAACATTGACTCACGCACGCGTATTCATGTGTATGATGGAAGAAAATAAAGAAAATGGTGTACTAAATAGTCTGCAGTATTTAACCGCCTAAATAATAATAAAAACACAGAATGTACTTTTTTAAGTTGCCTCTAGACACTGAGAGGTAAATAAGTAGTTAATATTATTCATGATAATTCATGCTAAATCATGTATTTCATCCACCATTTTCCGCAGTTTGGCACCTCACGTCACATCATTTTACCGAAGTCAGCCCTAATAGCTTCGGCGCAGTGCCAATCACTGACGTTTGTCAACAAAATGGTGCTTGACTCTTGAGACAGGCTAAATTACACCATATTGTTAATGACATTGAGCATATTTTTTTTTAAATACCTTCGCGAAGTAAAACTTCTGTACGTAGTACTTATTATTATTCTGTGGTATTATGTTATAAATAACTGGAAAAAATTGAATTTTATTTCCTCAGGTGGAAATCGAACCCACGACCTAGCGCTTGCCGGCGAATACTCTTAACGCTAGGAAATAACAGAATACTGTAAATACTGTTATTAAAATTTTGTAGCCTTAAGGTGATATGAGTTGCTTGTTACTTTTATGTTTTGAATTATCTTGTTTTTCATACTGTTATAGTCTTAAGACTTTCAAAAATTACAAGATATTATACGTTCGCATTCCATTTCAACTATAATAGTAAGACACGGGTCTTAACGCGACGTTTATTACTGAGTTACATTATGTACTCACGGCTTGACGTTTCGGCTGCTATGCTGCAGCTGTAACTCATTAATAAACGTCGCGTTAAGACCCGTGTCTTACTATATTACTTTCAAAAATTATACAATGAAAAATCAAATCAAATCAAAATTCTTACCTTGAGTTATCGCATAATCCCTTTCCAAGTTCAGATCTTCGATATTCTGTGTTTCAAGTTCCACAGAAGTTTCAATGTCCGATTGTTTGTCCTTTTTCTCATCCATTTCCATTTGGAAAACGGTCGGATGTTTTGTCCGTACGTGGCGATTCATGTTGTTAGTGTTGCATCCCTTTATAGAGAGTACGGCTTCGCAGATTTTGCATCGGTAAATGATGTTGCTTATACGAATGAAGTATTTCCACACCCAACTCTTCCTTCTGGTTTCTGAAATATATTATGAAGACATGCGATTAGGATAATATGATTTATTTATGTGTATGTGCAGTTCTGAAATGTTCATAACTGAGATATAATATAAGAAATACAAATCATAATAATAATATATTCTAAGTTGAGCACTGGATTTCTTTAGGTGGGAATTGAACCAACAAAGTTTGCTTGCTACAAATTACAACTGCACTATGAGACATTAATAGTACATTTTTAGGTGATTATCTGCTGTGATTTAGTGTATTTTTTACAAAATATTGGTCATTTAGTTATGAAAGTTTATGATTATTATTTTAGAGGCATGATAATAACATTATATTTACAAGAATACTGACTGCTGATATGGGCCTATTGCAAATTTTAATAAGTCATACAAGTTAAGAACTTAAAAAAAGGTTAAAATAATATTATCTGTACATACCACTTTCACGTCGCTGAGTCTTCTTCTTAGCCGCTGGCATAACAACCAAATGAGAGTCCATTGTTTCATCAAACTTTGTTATGGGCTTAGCTATTTCCTCCGAGGTCGCTTCACACATTTCACCGATAATTACAGGCTCCGTTTTTGGGTCACCATCATCTTTCAGTACATTTAAATGAAGGAACTCGATGCGAAACCCTACGGTGGCTTCAGGATTTTCCTTATGTAAGTCATGTACTTCCTTATGGTTGGCCTTGATATGTTCCAATAACTGCATAGACTTTTCATCGGTATGCAGAACCGTCTCGCATATGTTGCAACGATATTCATTATCTCCATTCTTCAAGAAATAAATAGACACCCAATCCGGTAACTCTGTTTCTGTCGCAAAGAACATAGCATTGGTTAATATTTCAGCTAACTTATATTAGCTATCACAAACTAAGTTGTAAATACTTGAGAACAATTATATCTACTTACTAATTTGATACAGACACTAACTACTTACACTATATAACCAAATTATAAATACAGGAGATAAATAAAACACATTTTAGTCAACAATTTTAATATCACATGAAACTCAATAATAAAATAATACACCATATCAGTAAAGAAAAATCTTTATTTTGTACATAAACTGCAATAAATACTTTTTAAGGCTGTGTAAACAAGAGAAAGAATTAAATTTACGATATATTTTAATACTGGGGTAATACTGATTGTAATGTTATTTTGGCATTTTAATGTAACAACACTTTAGCTGAAGTCTTCACTACATTACAGACTTGTTAAATCCTTTTAATATTGATTCACACAAATGAATTTGAAGCAAGATTTATCACATTTAGAACGATTTTTTTAACTTTACGCTGGAAACAATTAGATTATTGTTTGTTTACACAAATATTACGGCCTAATCACTGAACATAGGTTTCTTGTGATTGTGGAAGTCTCTCACGACCTCTACACCGAAAGTCTGCATATTAATGACGGATATACAACCTGTTTTTTGGCGGAACGAGCAGCACCACTGCTCCGCGCCACATTGCAACCTACTCTTGAAAACATAAGTGTATCCTTTGTACAAGATCTGATGACCCTTTTTCGTCGGCACACACTGAACAAAATCATCACCTGAAATGCACTTAATAAAATTAATCACTGACCACAATAACTTATTGTATCCGCAACAAAAACAACAGAAAATGAATTCTGATTGTTTTGTTGGAACAACCTATAACAATTTTGGAATGGTGTACAATTACTTGGATGCACGAGTTGGTAAGAGAATCATATAGTTTGTAAATTAATTTATTATTTGCATGCGCTAAATACATTTTAGTTTCAACTAAAAATAAATGCAAGGGAAAATAAATATTTCTGAAGACAGTGACGCAACGTAGCTGTCATGATGACGTATGGCATTATTTTTTGCGTTGCGTTGAACGAGCTACGTAGCAAAGGCATCGATGAATATACAGCTTAGTAAAAAAAAATATATTGTTTGTAGCCATTTAACTTGTAATTAATAGAATCGAGTAGGTAGCAATTATTTCTGTTAGTACCCAATTAAAAACTTTTATTACTGTGCAGCTTAGGTTATGGGCGTTTGATAGGCTGGTTGAATCGATGCTTAGCGGAGTTGACGACTGGGCAATAAGAGATGGCGCTAGTAGTCCTAAAATGTTTGCATTGCAACATACTTCTGGTCTTCTGTAACTGTAATTGAACCGTTTAGTGGCATTTTAAAGAAAACGAAAATCGTGAAGATGCGTGTTTACTACTGTTTACTGTTTAGCAATACGTATAAATATTAATAATGATTAATGTAGGTAGGTCTATCTAAAAATTCCTTTAAAAGTAATTAATTACTACTGAAATTTACTCGCATAGATTTAATTAATATTATTACTTTACTAATAAATATATTAAATAACATTTATTGTGATCCTTTTGTTAAAATATATTGATAGATTTTTACTTTTTGACAGATCATAAGAGATGGCGTTAGTAGTCCTTAAAGATTAGAAAAATACCAAATGTATTTATTTATCAACGTTACAATCGTAGATTAAATCAATTAGCTTGAAAATTTAAATATGAAATAAGAATGTCTAATGAAATATATTAAATAACATTTATTGTGATCCTTTTGTTAAAATATATTGATAGATTTTTACTTTTTGACAGATCATAAGAGATGGCGTTAGTAGTCCTTAAAGATTAGAAAAATACCAAATGTATTTATTTATCAACGTTACAATCGTAGATTAAATCAATTAGCTTGAAAATTTAAATATGAAATAAGAATGTCTAATGAAAATTAATAATATTATCAAAATCAATATCACAACACAACACAATATGATGATATCGATCGATCTAGGTATTGATTGATTTTTAATCACGTTAACTAGTGCATGTAATGGCATAATAATTACACTCCTACATTTCAAGTAAATGTAAGTAAGTATCTTGTTCAATAGCCTTTACTTAGCTCAGTTGTACTAATTGAAAAGGGAACTTGTAAGTGCCAGTTTTACAGACCAACCGTTAATTACCCTTTCTTGCACTGAATTAACTAGAGCACTAAAGAATTCATAAGCGTCCATCAGTTGTCCCGTAACCATGGAAATCGAATCAACAACTCACAAAACGAACATCCCTAAGGACTATTATTTTACCGGGACACCATGGCGGCGCAACCAGTCGCCGGCTACCAGCAAAATGTATACAGCTCTATAGAGAGTTACTCACCTGGTGTTCGTTTGGTTGCGCGAAGCTGCATACATTTTGTTGGTAGCGGCGACTGGTTGCACCGCCCTGGTGTCCCGGTGAAATATAGCCCTAAAGGCCCTACCTAACTCATTAAGACACCACGGCGGTGTTTTGAGCTTCCATATAGCTACATTTTTTGTTCATCATCATCATCATAATTTCAGCCACAGGATGTCCACTGCTGAACATAAGCCTCCCCTAATGTTTTCCAGATTGGCCGATTGGTAGCGGCCTGCATCCAGCGCCTTCCTACTACGTTATGAGCCAACAAACCAGGTGAGGTAGGTACCCTTTTTAAATTGGTATTACATATTATTGGAGGTGCGACCGGTATGGCGCCATTATGGTGTCCTAAGTTATTTAAACTCTAAACATAGGGTTTCTTTCAGCACTAAGTAGGTAAGTGACATCTGTTGGTCATCAACTTGTTGATACTGTTGATGAAAACGTTTGGTAGGTAAAATCGATAGAGAGGGGGAGAAACAGCCATAATATTATGTAAACGCTGTAAAAGTAAGTTTCTGCAAAGAAGTTCATAAACATAACCCCCTTCTGGCGCAGTCGGGTGAAAAATGTTTTTCTCACGTAGTTGCGCGCAAACTTTATTTCGCGCGTCACTTTAAGTACAGTATTCTTAGTAGGTACTTCTTTTAGTCACAAAAGTATACTCGTAGTAGGTTAATAAGTTAATAATACTTATTTCATAAAATAATTATCGGGGCAATGTAATACTAAACAGCAGATAATACAATGAGGTGAGGTGTTGTTATCGTTCAAAGCACATTTTATTGTTTTTAAACAGATAAATATAACTTTGTTTTTATTGTTGTATAAAAACAGTTTAATCTTAAAATTTGTTAGTCGGTTTTTTCGTGGGTCAGCGCCTATAGAGCGGTGAACTTATCGTACCAGTATCGTACTAGATTTCGATAACCTTTTTCTTTCTATTTTATTTTATACTAGCGGCCGCCCGCGACTTCGTACGCGTGGATCCCGTTTTACCCCCTTCATCTATCTTACGCGGTTTAGATTTTTTCATACAAATGTTTTTTCCCGCTAACTCCCGTTCTCGTGGGAATTTTGCAATATCCTGTTGTAACTAAGCTTTAATTTTACTAAGGTACCTGCATGACAAATTTCAAGCGTCTAACTTAAGCGGGTTAGATTTTTCACACAAGGATTTTCCCGCTTATTCCCGTTCCCATGGGAATTTCGGGAATTCCTTTCTTAGTGCACCTCTACGGTACCTAAGCTACATCCCTTCCAAATTTCAAGTGCCTACGTTTAGCCGTTTAGGCTGTGCGTTGATATGTCAGTCAGTCAGTCAGTCAGAGTTTCTCCTTTTATATATTTATATAGATTAAGTAGGTACTAGGTTACTGATTGATCAAGTAGGATTTAGACAAAATAATCGGGTGGAGATGACCTACCTCTTGTATCCACTGCTGCATCGCCTGCGTTTGCTGTGTAGCCAGGATCTACAGCTTGACCGCCAATAAAAACTCAACCAATGAAGAGGAAAGTTTAACTGGACAACATTATTGTTCAAAAGCTGACGGATGTAGATGTTGCTTATGATGGCGAAAACCTTTTATGTATAATCGTAGTTATGTGCGGTCTAACTATGCATAAGTAGATTATAGTGTTTATCCAATCAGGTGGTGCCCCCCATGAAAATGGGTTTAATGTTGTTGAGGATTAGCGTTTTGATATTAGCAAATACTTATTACCTGAAAATGCTTAGTAATAGAGATAATTTGTATTTGAAATAATAAACAATCCTATCCATAATATCATATCTCTAGAAACTCACGAAAATGATAATAGAGTTATTTATGTAAATGTACTAAACTATAAACTCAATCAAAACGATAAATCAATTAAGATCATTTTGTGTTCCTTCACTAATTTCTGTCTGTGTATGTGCTGTTCTGACGTAAGTACTATTTAGGCTAATCATTCAGCCATAGGACGTCCACTGCTGAACATAGGCCTCCCCTAATGCTTTCCACGATCAACGATTGGTAGCGGCCTGCGTCCACCTTGTAGATGGACGTCCCACGCTGCGTTTTCCGGTACGCGGCCTCCATTCCAGAACCTTGCTGCCCCATCGGCCGTCAGTTCTGCGTACTATGTGCCCTTCCCATTGCCACTTCAGCTTGCTAATCCGTCGGGCTAATATTAGGTGTCAAACTCAAAGCATTCAACCAATAAAAGGTCAGAATCTATGATATTGATAGAGATTGAATTGATTGTAGAGCTTTGTTTTGTAACCTTGCTGCCCCATCGGCCGTCAGTTCTGCGTACTATGTGCCCTGCCCATTGCCACTTCAGCTTGCTAATCCGTCGGGCTAATATTAGGTTAGGTGTCAAACTCAAAACATTCAACCAATAAAAGGTCAGAATCTATGATATTGATAGAGATTGAATTGATTGTAGAGCGTTTTGTAATTAGATTCGTTCTTAGATTTATTTGTAGGATCGATCAACCATCGACATTAACTGGAGGTAACCTATGTCTAATTATCATCACCATCAGGCCATTTAGTCTCCACTGCAAGAGGACGACCTTCCCTAACTTCATAATTTCAGCCACTGATGAACATAGATAACCAGATGCAAATGGAGTATTTGGCCTAGACTCCCCACTGAGTCCCCAACGCTGGGCTCGAGGATTTCGCCTAGTACTCCCCACGCTGGACTCCATGTGAGACTAAGATTCAGCCAAACCAACTCGGGCAGCCGGCGTGCACGATGGCGATGGCTATCAGACTTATACGCAAAAACATCAAAAACATGTGAAGGCTCCTTATGAGCAAAACTTTAAGGCTGGGTTGCACCATCTTATTATAACTTTTTTTTTATGTGACAGGAGGCAAACGAGCAAACAGATCACCTGATGGTAAGTGATTACCGTCGCCCATAGACACCCGCAGACCCAGGGGCGTTACAGGTGCGTTGCCGGCCTTTAAAGTGAAGATACGCTCTCCTCTTGAAAGCTTGCAGGTCGTATCCGTCCGGAAACACCGCAGACGACAGTCCATTCCACAGTTTGGTTGTACGGGGCAGGAAGTTTCTAGAGAAACGTACTGTTGTGGACAGCCAACCATCTAAGTGATGGGGGTGGAAGTGCTGTCGGGTAGATCGGTGGCGAAAAGTGGCGGCAGGAATAAGTCCGGATAATTCTTCGGAGCACTCCCCGTGATACTTCTATCGCATGTAGAGTGCTCCGAGTCTTTTTTTTTTAATATAAGCACAACGCTGCGCTTGCAGCGCTGCACGTCTTCGAAATAGCCTGCGGACTTTGATAGGACAAAGTAAGCCGTTATCTATGACGTAGTTACGTGGCTGTTATCACACTGTTATCTTCACGCGCCACGCGCTTGGTTGATAACGTTTCTTATCGGCCCAAGTACGCATGGACGTAATTTTTTGTTTTTGGTTTAAGTTTAAGGTCTTAAACAATGAAAATATTTTCAATGTTACCTATATTTTTAGTCCAACGATGTTTAATATCGTTTGATATTTTTAAACTATTCTATGGCGCCATCTATTCCCAAAACAAGCAATGCTTGTTCTCTGTCTATGACATCGGACACGTCATACAACTATTTTTTACAAATTACTTAAAAAATATAGTACCTACATTATGTTATAAACCTGTTTGACCTATTCCAAGAGGCCTTTATGTAAACCACTCGATTATATCTGTAGCTGCTATTCAATAATTTAGTCATTATAACAACTGCCCTGCCTACTAACAACTCTACCAACAAGTTTTTTGGGTATTTCATTAACCATTAATTTGGAACATACGGGGAACCCCTAAGTTGACCATGACCATGACCGCACCGCGACTGTACTTTGACCCCCAAGGCCGGTAGATTAGTAAGAGCGTATCAATTGTCGATATACTCATGGGTAAGTTTTATGGCACCTAAATTTACATAAGATTTAGAGTAGGCGCACAGCGTTGATTTTTCGTCGGCCGATAGTTTAGTCGGGCAGTTGATCAGTATGGGCATGTATGGGAGTGCGCACACTACGCCGATTCGATTTGGCCGATTCTTCATACAAATTAAAATCGGCCAACTAAAAATCAACGGTGTGCGCCTACTCTTACGTAAGAACTGAATCAAGCACAAACAAGCACGGGATCGATTCCCGGTCACATTAAATTTTCGTAATCATCATCCTAATAGATTTTTTTTAGATTTAGCCTATTGATAGACGTAACTTTTCCTCAATAATGCAGATATATTATTTTTTTTCAACAACGGACTTACTTGGAGGTCTAAACAAAAAGTTTCGGAGGCCTTATAAATAAATAAATAAATAATAAATAAATAAATCTTTGGACAATTTCGCACAGCGCCAGCTAGCCCCAAAGTAAGCAACTTTTAATGCTTGTGTTATGGGTGCTAGCTTAACGGATATACTACTTTATACTTTTTTTTTTAATTACATAAATATTATACATAGTCACACCCAGACCCGTCACAGAAATTAAAATTCATCATTTCAATTTCTGCCCGGCCGGGAATCGAACCCGGGACCTCTCGGCATAGTAGTCCGTTCTGAACCACTACACCAAACGGCCGACAATAATATGTTGTAGGCCTTATATTAACTACTTATTGATTTGTGATAAGTAGTAAATCACTAAGTAGATAATTAGTAGTNGAAATTTACATAAGATTTAGAGTAGGCGCACAGCGTTGATTTTTCGTCGGCCGATAGTTTAGTCGGGCAGTTGATCAGTATGGGCATGTATGGGAGTGCGCACACTACGCCGATTCGATTTGGCCGATTCTTCATACAAATTAAAATCGGCCAACTAAAAATCAACGGTGTGCGCCTACTCTTACGTAAGAACCGAATCAAGCACAAACAAGCACGGGCTCGATTCCCGGTCACATTAAATTTTCGTCATCATCATCCTAATAGATTTTTTTTAGATTTAGCCTATTGATAGACATAACTTTTCCTTGTGTTTTGTTTGTGCTAGACTATTCTTTTTCAACTACGGACTTACTTGGAGGTATAAACAACGAGTCTCGGAGGCCTTATAATAGGTAGTAGGCCATAAATTAACTACTTAGTAGTTCTACTTTTTAAAAAGAAACGTGCAAAATATGCTTGCTGAAATGAACTACAGGAGTGCAGGCATAGCGAATAGGTGAAAAAGTTCTTGCAGCAATAACGCAGTGCAAAATCGGTTTAGAATTAATGGTGGTGTAGTATGTAACCTTTTTCGAAATGTCTGACAACTGATTTTTAAAGCGTCTGCTACGAGGACTCAGCCAGCCACTAGTCACTTTAGAATCAAAATTAAATCAGCGTTATCTAACCAGGAATTGAACCGGAACCTATTTCGTTCGAGGCCACACAGCTCCACAGCCATTGCAAATACTACCTACAACAATTATAGCTTTTGCCCGCGACTTTGCCCGTATGAATTTCGGTTTTAACCATATTCCGGATAATTTTGCCATTTGTTCAGTAAAAATGAAAATGAAAAGTATACTCTTAACTACCGCATCGAACACTATCGAAACTGCAATGTAAAAAATAGAAGATACGACAGTGTTAGTTGCGGCAGTCTATTTATTTAACAATCACAAGTTAGTAAACAGTTAATAGCAGACCCCAAACTAGAGAGAGCCTTTATCTTGGTGGCCCAGGAGTAGGCAGTGCAGTTTGAAGGTAGAGGTGGCTGACACAGTGNATACAAATGCTTCTCTCCGTATGAGACCAGGTGTCAAATTTATTCCGCTTTGCGCTAAACCGAGTATTCTGATTACAAGTTCATTTTCTTGTTCCTGGTTGAATGTTAATTTTTTACCCATGCATTTCACACTGCTTCCAGATTTCATGTGGTTTCTCAGTGTGGTCCTTGGTATTTTATATCTGCGTGATGCAGTCAATACTGACATATGCTCATATTTGACAGCTGTCATGGCGGCTTGAAGGCTCTTTTCAGACCACAAGCCTCGCTTTCCTGGTATTTTTAGTGAGTCTGTCAACAATCAAGTACAATTGATTAAAAATAATTAAGTGCTATTAACATTAAGTAATATTACTAGATACCTATGTAATAGTTAGAGATTATTACATAAATCGATATATTATAAGATATTTAATGAATAATAGATAGTTAATTTATACTAAATTCATTTAATTAAGATTAATACGAATCTCAATGTTTGCTTAGTTTGGGACTAGCGGCGTAGTGTAAAATGTCCAAGAATATTTATTTATTTGTTAAAGAGTACTTCTGAAATTTCAGAATGACGCTTTTTAAACTCTTTGTACCAGTCAGGGCCTGCAATGCGATTCTTCTTGTTAAAGCTGTGCTCAATATTATTCTTTTCGCAGAATAAAAACGCTTCTTTACGTATGAGACTAGGTGTTACTTTTTTTCCTCTTTTAGCGATACGGAATATTCCTATGACAAAATCATTTTCTTGTTCCTGGGTGAAGGTTGACTTGCGTCCTATGCGTTTTACATCACTTCCAGATTTTATGTGGCTATACAATGTAGTCCTTGGTATTTTATAACTACGGGCTGCGGCCAATCCTGTCATATGCCCATATTTGACAGCTGTCATGGCGGCTTGAAGGCTCTCTTCAGACCACAAGCCTCGCTTTCCTGGCATTTTTAGTGAATCTGTCAACAATCAAGTACAATTAATTAAAAATAAATAAGTGCTATTAAGTAATATCAATGGATGGATACCTAACTATAAATAATAGATAGCTAATTAGATACTAATTCAATTAATTAAGATTACAAATCACAATTTTTGTTACAGAGTGATTCTAAAATTTCAGAATGACGCTTTTTAAACTCTTTGTACCAGTCAGGGCCTGCAATGCGATTCTTCTTGTTAAAGCTGTGCTCAATATTATTCTTTTCGCAGAATAATAACGCTTCTTTACGTATGAGACTAGGTGTTACTTTTTTTCCTTTTTAAGCGATACGGAATATTCTTATGACAAGATTATTTTCTTGTTCGTGGGTGAATGTTGACTTGCGTCCTATGCGTTTTACATCACTTCCAGATTTCAAATGGTTGCACACGGGACTATTCCCACCTNTCCACACGAAGACTATACACAAGACGTCCCAATTGGGACGTATTTGAGTATTCACAGCGCGCGCGCTAATAACATATCTGATTTTGTTTTTATATATTATCATTGGACAAAAGAGTAATGTAAATATACTAAACTATGAATGAGCAATCAATCAAAACGATAAATCAATTAAGAACATTTCGTGTTCCTTCACTAGTTTCTGTCTGTACTATTTAGGCTAATCATTCAGCCATAGGACGTCCACTGCTGAACATAGGCCTCCCCCAATGCTTTCCACGTTGATCGATTGGTAGCGGCCTGCGTCCAGCGCTTCCCTGCTACCTTTACGATGTCGTCGGTCCACCTTGTAGATGGACGTCCCACGCTGCGTTTTCCGGTACGCGGCCTCCATTCCAGAACCTTGCTGCCCCATCGGCCGTCAGTTCTGCGTACTATGTGCCCTGCCCATTGCCACTTCAGCTTGCTAATCCGTCGGGGTAATATTAGGCTAATATTAGGTGTCAAACTCAAAACATTCAACCAATAAAAGGTCAGAATCTATGATATTGAGAGAGCTTGAATTGATTGTAGAGCTTTGTTATGTTATACGGAACTTAAGTTTAATCAATTGGTGTAGATTAGATTCATTATTAGATTTGTTTGTAGGATCGATCAACCATCGACATTAACTGGAGGTAACCTATGTCTAATTATCATCATCAGCCATTTAGTATCCACTGCAAGAAGACGACCCTCCCTAACTTCATAATTTCAGCCACTGATGAACATAGGTCTCCCCCAATCAACCAGAGGCAAATGGAGTATTTGGCCTAGAATCCCCACTGAGTCCCCACGATAGGCTCGAGGATTTGGCCCAGTACTCCCCACGCTGGACTCGCTCGTTTCCACCTTCTACCTGATCATCACTTTCCATGTGAGACTAAGATTCGGCCAAACCAACTCGGGCAGCCGGCGTGCACGATGGCAATGGCGATCAGACTTAAACGCAAAATCATGTGAAGGCTCCTTATGAGCAAAACTTTAAGGCTGGGTTGCACCATCTTATTATAACTTTTTTTTATGTGACAGGAGGCAAACGAGCAGACAGATCACCTAATGGTAAGTGATTACCGTCGCCCATAGACACCCGCAGACCCAGGGGCGTTACAGGTGCGTTGCTGGCCTTTAAGGTGAAGATACGCTCTCCTCTTGAAAGCTTGCAGGTCGTATCCGTCCGGAAACACCGCAGACGACAGTCCATTCCACAGTTTGGTTGTACGGGGCAGGAAGTTTCTAGAGAAACGTACTGTTGTGGACAGCCAACCATCTAAGTGATGGGGGTGGAAGTGCTGTCGGGTAGATCGGTTGCGAAAAGTGGCGGCAGGAATAAGTCCGGATAATTCTTCGGAGCACTCCCCGTGATACTTCTATCGCATGTAGAGTGCTCCGAGTCTTTTTTTTAAATATAAGCACAACGCTGCGCTTGCAGCGCTGCACGTCTTCGAAATAGCCTGCGGACTTTGATAGGACAAAGTAAGCCGTTATCTATGACGTAGTTACGTGGCTGTTATCACACTGTTATCTTCACGCGCCACGCGCTTGGTTGATAACGTTTCTTATCGGCCCAAGTACGCATGGATGTAATTTTTTGTTTTTGGTTTAAGGTCTTAAACAATGAAATTATTTTTAATGTTACCTATATTTTTAGGCCAAATGATATTTAAAATAAATATCCTTGGATATTTTTAAATTATTCTATGGCGCCATCTATTCCCAAAACAAGCAATGCTTGTTCTCTGTCTATGACATCGGACACGTCATCATCATCATCATCATCAACAGCCCTTTACAGTCCACTGCTGGACTATGAGCCTCCTCCACTATAGTGGAGGGTTTTGCCATAATCCCCACGCTTGGCAGGCGGGTTGGAGATCGCAGTTTAAAAGATTGATGTTTTTCAGAGAGCGCTGCTGCCCGTTCTCTGTTTGATGTGTAGTCCCTAAGTCGCCTCTTACGACACCCGCGGGAAGAGTAGGGGTTGGTGACAAATGTATTCTACTCTGCCGTCACCACACGGCTTACGGACACGTCATACAACTATTTTTTACAAATTACTTAAAAAATATAGTACCTACATTATGTTATAAACCTGTTTGACCTATTCCAAGAGGCCTTTATGTAAACCACTCGATTATATCTGTAGCTGCTATTCAATAATTTAGTCATTATAACAACTGCCCTGCCTACTAACAACTCTACCAACAAGTTTTTTGGGTATTTCATTAACCATTAATTTGGAACATACGGGGAACCCCTAAGTTGACCATGACCATGACCGCACCGCGACTGTACTTTGACCCCCAAGGCCGGTAGATTAGTAAGAGCGTATCAATTGTCGATATACTCATGGGTAAGTTTTATGGCACCGAAATTTACATAAGATTTAGAGTAGGCGCACAGCGTTGATTTTTCGTCGGCCGATAGTTTAGTCGGGCAGTTGATCAGTATGGGCATGTATGGGAGTGCGCACACTACGCCGATTCGATTTGGCCGATTCTTCATACAAATTAAAATCGGCCAACTAAAAATCAACGGTGTGCGCCTACTCTTACGTAAGAACCGAATCAAGCACAAACAAGCACGGGCTCGATTCCCGGTCACATTAAATTTTCGTCATCATCATCCTAATAGATTTTTTTTAGATTTAGCCTATTGATAGACATAACTTTTCCTTGTGTTTTGTTTGTGCTAGACTATTCTTTTTCAACTACGGACTTACTTGGAGGTATAAACAACGAGTCTCGGAGGCCTTATAATAGGTAGTAGGCCATAAATTAACTACTTAGTAGTTCTACTTTTTAAAAAGAAACGTGCAAAATATGCTTGCTGAAATGAACTACAGGAGTGCAGGCATAGCGAATAGGTGAAAAAGTTCTTGCAGCAATAACGCAGTGCAAAATCGGTTTAGAATTAATGGTGGTGTAGTATGTAACCTTTTTCGAAATGTCTGACAACTGATTTTTAAAGCGTCTGCTACGAGGACTCAGCCAGCCACTAGTCACTTTAGAATCAAAATTAAATCAGCGTTATCTAACCAGGAATTGAACCGGAACCTATTTCGTTCGAGGCCACACAGCTCCACAGCCATTGCAAATACTAGTTACAACAATTATAGCTTTTGCCCGCGACTTTGCCCGTATGAATTTCGGTTTTAACCATATTCCGGATAATTTTGCCATTTGTTCAGTAAAAATGAAAATGAAAAGTATACTCTTAACTACCGCATCGAACACTATCGAAACTGCAATGTAAAAAATAGAAGATACGACAGTGTTAGTTGCGGCAGTCTATTTATTTAACAATCACAAGTTAGTAAACAGTTAATAGCAGACCCCAAACTAGAGAGAGCCTTTATCTTGGTGGCCCAGGAGTAGGCAGTGCAGTTTGAAGGTAGAGGTGGCTGACACAGTGCGGTATATACCTAAATACACTATCTACACAGCATTGTTGTGTTCCGACAGTTAGAATAAGATAGTCAGTTTCTCTGTGGTTGAGGATTCCGGGTGAAGCTCGCTTCCACCTTCGGCCTGATCATCACTTTCCATCAGGAGAAATGCAGGCCAAGAGCTTCCTCGTTGTGGATAAAATAAATCTCCAACTAAAGGCATTCCTGAAATACCGTGCCTGAAACGTTCACCGTAGGTACCTTGGACAGTGCAATAAAGATAGATAATAAAATAATCAATTTATCTAATCAGATAAAACTGTATTATCCACTACACTAAACAACAAAAGAAAGATACATCTTTTAGACGTGTCATGTTTAAAGTTCACTTAGGCTTATTAGCAACTCGCCTAAAGTATACCTAACATTGTAATAGGTATTATGTGTAAATTCGTAAACATATTTTTCAAGTTTAATAGTGTTTATGCGGACATTATTAACTGACTGATAACAACTGCGTCACCGGCTTTGGACTTCGGACCGAAGGACCTGCTATCTTAATAAATATGTACTTGAATATGTCATGAAGGCCGCGCTATTGTTTTACCTATTATTATAATTTAATTTAGCATAATGTACGTATTATTGTTGGGTTATATGTATGGTATGTAATGTAAAATGATGTAATACTGGAACTGGAATCTTATTTTAGTGCCAATAGGTGCGTTATTACAACAAAACGTATGTATGTATAGTCTGTGTAAATTTAATTGAAATTATATTTAGTTAGTTTTAACATAATGTTTGAACACCGTAAAACTTATTTCTACATTTACCTAATACCCTGTATAGGATTTTTCGCATTAATTAATTGATTTAGGATTGATAAAAAAGATTTCAGTGCAAAAATAAAAGGAATTTTTTGTTGATCTTTAATAAAAACTCCATCACACTTAGTTCAATTTATATAATTATTTTTAATCAATGCAAGAAAATCTGCACTGCCTATTGCTTATTCCTTCGCCTTTGACAGAGCTCTTGAGAAATTTCAACATGCCTCTTTAAAAACTTCTGGAGCCATTTCTTACCAGCAACGCGAGCTTTCTTGTTGAACTTGTGCTCAATATTATTCTTCTCGCAGAATACAAATGCTTCTCTCC